GTTATCTTGTGAGTTCCCTGTGTCATCTTGTCTTTCGTGTGAGTTTCCTGTGTTATCTTGTGTTTCGTTTGAGTTCCCTGTGTTTTTTTTAGAATTCCCTGTGTTTTGTGTGAGTTCCCTGTGTTTCGTGTGAGTTCCCTGTGTTTCGTGTGAGTTCCCTGTTTCGTGTGACATCCCTGTTTAGTGTGAGATCCATGTTTCGTGTGAGTTACCCTGTGTTTTGTGAGTTCCCTATTTCGTGTGAGTTCCCTGTGTTTTGTGAGTTCCCTGTTTTGTGAGTTCCCTGTTTCGTGTGAGTTCCCTGTGTTTTGTGAGTTCCCTGTTTTGTGAGTTCCCTGTTTCGTCTGAGTTCCCTGTGTTTTGTGAGTTCCCTGTTTCGTGTGAGTTCCCTGTGTTTCGTGTGAGTTCCCTGTTTTGTGAGTTCCCTGTTTCGTGTGAGTTCCCTGTGTTTCGCGTGAGTTCCCTGTTTCGTGTGAGTTCCGTGTTTCGTGTGAGTTCCCTGTGTTTCATGTGACATCCCTGTGCTTTGTGAGAGTTCCCTGTGTTTCATGTGAGTTCCCTATGTTTAGTGTGAGTTCCGTGAGTTACCTGCGCTATTTTGTGTTTCGTGTGATTTCCCTGTTTCGAGTGAGTTCCCTGTGTTATCTTGTGTTTCGTGTGAGTTACCCTGTGTTTCGTGTGAGTTCCCTGTGTTTAGTGTGAGTTACCTGTGTTTCGAGTGAGCTCCCAGTCTTCTAACACAAAAATCACTACTTTCTCGACACTAAACAAGTCGGGTTATTCGTGTGTAAGTTATTATATACTTAACTACTAAATGCCATCAAAGTTATACAATTACAATAAGGCGTCATAATTGTCAGTGTGTTCAAAAATACGATACGGGGTGAGAATTTTTCAAGCGTGTTTAATTGTATGCTGGTAGTAAGGGGAGCTAGGGACTCATCCTTAGGTAACCTTGTGACTTGATACTTGTTTCACTTATACTGAATTTGAGTTATGATTCATCGAAGTAGATGTGGCTACAGCAGGTGTGGCTACAGCAGCAGGTGTGGCTACAGCAGCAGGTGTGGCTACAGCAGCAGGTGTGGCTACAGCAGCAGGTGTGGCTACAGCAGCAGGTGTGCAGCAGGTGTTACTACAGCAGTAGGTGTGACTACAGCAGCAGGTGACTACAGCAGCAGCAGGTATTACTACAGCAGCAGCAGGTATTACTACAGCAGCAGGTGTTACTACAGCAGCAGGTGTGACTACAGCAGCAGCAGGTGTGACTACAGCAGCAGCAGGTGTGACTACAGCAGCAGCAGGTATGACTGCAGCAGCAGCAGGTGTGACTAAAGCAGCAGCAGCGACTGCAGCAGCAGGTGACTACAGCAGCAGGTGACTACAGCAGCAGGCAGCAACAGCAGTAAGGGCCATGGCTTGGTGAACACAAGAGTTGCGTGACACTTTGTGGGTTAGAGCACTGAAGGTGGCCTTGCCCGCCTCAAACACTGCCATAGCTTCCATAAACAGTGATATAGCACAAGCACGCATAACACACACGCAGGTAGACATACACACACAAGAAGGTACGCACGCGCGAGCACGCAGGCAGTCCGACAAGTAATAAGACGACTACTCGATAGTAGGAATAAAGATCAGTGACCTGACTGGAGGTCCTGCGTATAGCTCGGGTGAAGATAATGACACACTGCACCATCATCCCAGTCTGCTACACAAAGGCACGAGCCACTGGTGGGCGTCGCCAGCTAGGTGGTAACTCGACTCTATAACGCACTGTACAATATTAACATGTGAAGCTACAACACAAAACATTTTCAGTCAGCTAAGGCTGGTTGGTGTAGCAGCCGCCTCACAAGTCATTTCCTAAGTTGGCAACAGTCAGCAGTTTCCAAGTTTCCGATGCGTCTGTCTCCACTGGCTAAAAATCGAGTGTTATAGGCCAAGAAAAGTTCTACTGACAGTTCAGTGGAGCACAAGCTGGTGTGAGGTGAGGGCAGGCAGGGTGGGGTGAGGGCAGGCAGGTGGGCAGCAAGGGGCCGTGAGGGCGGGCAGACAAGGGGGTCGTGAGGGCGGGCAGGCAAGGGGGCCGTGAGGGCGGGCAGGCAGGGGGCCGTGAGGGCGGGCAGGCAGGCAGGGCCGTGGGGTGGGCAGGCAGGGGGGGGTGAGGGGCGGGCAGGCAGGCGGGCAGGCGGGCAGGCAGTGGGGGCCGTGAGGGCGGGCGGGCAGGGAAGGGCAGGCAGGCAGTGGGCCGGAGGGCAGGCCGGGCAGGGCCGTGGGGCGGGCAGGCAGGGGGGCAGGGGCGGGCAGGGGCAGGGGGAGGCGGGCAGGCAGGGGAGGGCGGGCAGGCAGGGGGGGGCGGGCAGGCAGGCAGGCAGGCAGGGGCCGTGAGGCGGGCAGGCAGGCAGGAGGTGAGGGCGGGCGGGCAGGCAGGGGGCGTGAGGGCGGGCAGGCAGGAGGGCCGTGAGGGCGGGCAGGCAGGGGGCCGTGAGGGGCGGGCAGGGGGGCCGTGGGGGCCGGGCAGGCAGGGGGCCGTGAGGGCGGGCGGGCAGGCAGGGTGGGCCGTGAGGGGCAGGCAGGGAGGGGTGGGCTGTGTGGGCGGGCAGGCAGGGTGGGTCGTGAGGGCAGGCAGACAGGGTGGCTGTGTGGGCCGTGAAGGCAGGCAGGGCAGGCTGTGTGGGCCGTGAGGGCAGGCAGGGCCCTGAGGGCAGGCAGGGTGGGCCCTGAGGGCAGGCAGGGTGGGCTGTGTGGGCCGTTAGGGCAGGCAGGGTGGGCTGTGTGTGGGCCCGTGAGGCAGGCAGGGTGGGCTGTGTGGGCCGTGAGGGCAGGCAGGGTGGGCTGTGTGGGCCGTGAGGGCAGGCAGGGTGGGCCGTGGCGGCGTTATTACCCCAAGTCATGACAACCATCAACAGTAAGCGAAGGTCAACACAGCATGAATCAGCTACCACAACACTCCTCCGCCGCTCACACACTACACTAAACGCTGACAAATGGACCATATGACACCTGGGAATATCATAAATTACACGAACAAAATGTGTGGTGGTTCTAATTAACTCAAAGTTCCATTCGTGTCTCAAAAGTACACTGCAAAATACACGTAAAATCATAAAACACGAGAAGACTGTAATCCGTTATACCATTCCACACATGTTTAAAGAAGATATACTACATCCATACTACTACTATCATCATGCATACTCCAGGCGGTAATTTTTTTCTCACTAAATATCGTTTGTTTATGGAGAACGAACTCTAGGTGATATACACACGCGTCCTGACTAACACACTTTCACAACTCAATAAGCCCTCCCCCACCCTCACCACAACACATAAGCGTACCCCAAAACCATTTCAACAAAGGCTGGCATAAGAAGGGAGATTGTTATAGTGAAGGGTGGCCATAATGGTGTGGTGTTACCCGTAGCCGTGCTTGTTTTGCTGTCTAGGGGCTGAGGTGAATGCAAGTGGTCGTGCGAGTCGCCTCCATACATTCACAATCATCCCCCCACGTAGCGACTTGAACCGGTTTGGCTGCCGTACCAGCGTCGGACTCGTTCATCATGGCTGTATTAAGCCTTTTTTTTTCTACCTTGAGCTATTAAAACCAGTTGCCACGCTGCTCCGTAAGTCACGCCTCCGAGGAAGACAGTGTGATAACCTCTTTAAGCCAAGTAGTCTCAACACTAAGGCAATGTGAGGCCCAGCCTGAGTTGTCACCATCACCACCCAAGAATAACACGACAGTCACGGTGAGGGCAGACCACCCCTCCCCCACCCTCACAACCACTCCATCTTCCGCTGTATCAACAATCACTGACTACAAACAACGTGTTGTCTCTTAACGCTACTTCATTTGCTGGGTCACACAGCCCGCGATGTACCTTGTCCACAACATAGTACCACACAACATCTACACTCGATTAGCCACCACCGTGTCCACCACACTCCAATTTCAGTCTCTCTAGAATCAGCAACATTGTAAATAAATGTAAATCTCCTTAGTCTCCCTCACATGGTAACTGGGGATAATGAACAAAAAAAATTTTTTCCTCACTCCAAAGATCACAATGCCTACTAAATTTACACTAAAGAATGTAAGTTTCGTTATCTGTATCGTGGCACATAAACCATTAGTCTGGGATGGAAGTCAAATGAGAAGAAAAACTTCCAAACACAAATCACTAAGAAAAATCCCAATGACCAGAAGAAATTGGCTTCAGTACTCGAGGGTGGAGGAAGGGGGACTTATATTTGTAGTTGCGAAAACCCAAGACTAAATTGACAGCAAGACTGGGCCGCGAGGCAGCCAGTGTACAACAGGCACACACTTCAACACTCACCAGGTGCCTACTACCCACCAATCTGGGAGACCCAACACCCGTCCTAACTAGACTTGGTAACAACAACTACACGTGGTTAATGAAAACCTGACTATCCACGTTCATACGGTCTGGGAAACCTGGTCAATTAGGCCGAGGGAACACACGTGAGGCAGAGTCCAGCAGCCACAACTCAGGCTATGTCCAGCAGCACACCACCACCATAACCCCGTTGTCTCCTGACGGCGATAACGTACTAACACACTTATTTTTACCCCACCATCATCATCACAAGTATATGCACAACTGTTGTTTGTGTATGAGAAACATGCTCTGAATTGCAACTCTGTTCATTTTCCTCATCACACCACCTAGCCAGCCAGGTCTCTGAGCACAAAGTCATTCCTACCATTATTGTGAGAGTAAGTTTGAATATGTATTAATGTACACCGTTTAAACAAACTCTTAAAGAGCCTTGTATTGTAGTCTGGCCCTCAGCACAGTAGCCACGTAAACAAATGTAATCTCACGACATCAACACAGACTGGAGTAAGGAGCTCCCTCTCACCATCACACAAGGCGACACCTAACTGGGAGGAACAATAAGAGGGCGCGAGCAGCACCTACCAAACCAAAGGCGACACACAACACCGGTTAACTTTGATAAATAAAACTCACCCAATGGCTTCCAAGTGATGATGGCTAGTTCTCCGAGGTCCGCAAGAATAACACAGCCACGTTATGTCACTCAACAGAGGAATTCTATTAACTTTGTGCAAATCCTCTCTCAACAAATATTCCACACCAACACTTAACACGTGATTCAACAGTGATGATGGTTTGGGCCAGAGATGAGGAGGACGATTTTTCCAAAGGTTTTACTCATGATACAGAGGCTTTGAGGGGCTTTTATTACACTCCCTTTCACTATCTATCTATTACACACTCCTCTCCTCACTGTATACCCAACTTCTCTTATAGCTTTCTAGTAAACTCATCATAACCCATTTCACTGGCACTTGCGGCCCACATCATGACGGCCGGTGCTAACACTCTCCAACTTCACCACAGACTGAACAAGTGGCACGTCTTGTTGTCAAAGTTTTTGGGGGAGCGGCCATTATTCCGCGCAGACGCTCGCTTGCCGCTCCCCAGCTGCCGGCCTCACCCCGCGCACTTTGAATCTTTCATTTCCCCTAATATTTACCATTACCTAACTTACTATCTGCTTCAGCTTTAGATTTTATGTAGCATTGATAATATTATGAATTATTTGCAATGTAAGGTTTGGATATAATAAGAGAAGAGTGTATGGCCCAGAAGGGCGAATCTTGATCCCCTTGTGTGGTACCGAGTGATCACCAGCGACGGGTGAGTAAGGTTGGCGGGTCGCGAGGCGCTGGGGTGACTGATGCGCGAAAACTCAACTATAAACACCCCGCTATCCCTCAAGATACACGCTGTATTCTCACACCAACCACCTATTGTGTAAAATTCATAGTAAGTCCCCTTCTAAATTTTGGGATATGGAGTGAAGGAACGTGGCGGTAAGAGTGGTGAAATAAGGGAATCATCACGCCTAGGCGTTGAGTGTGACACCAGGACCCGGCGGACCGTCTCTCTGCTGGTCGGCTCCCTCCCTGGCCACCACCTGCACCCACCCACCCTACGATAATCATCACTACGCAATCCCGTTTCCTCCTTTATCCCGGCGTTATACACGTAACTTACACTACCCATATGACTTAAAGGGATTTTATGATGTCAAGGATTTTATTATATAGCGTTATGAAGACGGGAAAAGTTTACAATCGATAAAGTGGTGCGAGTGTTGTGTGAGGAGCAAGTTATCGTACGGTGGCGACGTGTGTGCTCTGAGTGACTGGCTGGCTGCCCTCCTTAGCCATACTTTTGTTTGATTTGTCGCCGCTGCCATTCCCAAACAACCTATCTTGACGCTCTCCCACGTCAAACCACCGCACACAACGTCCCTCACCACCATCCTCAAACCTTCCACAGCACAAGCAAAACGCGATTAAATGCCAGGGTTCAGTGTTGAGGAGGAGGGTGAGCATTTGGCAGCCGTAAAGTAGTGAGTGGCCCTTCCCGCTCTTTCCCCCGCCACTGCTGTCGACCGATTACACCCCCCCCCCTCCACAAACGCCTAATCAACCGGGTATTGCTGGGTTTGCTCGGGTACCGCCTAGCCTGGGGTTTAAACGCGAGATAATTGTTGAATTCTCCCCTCACCCCCCATCATTCGGGTTAGGTTAGGTTAGATTTGTGTTAATTAGGTTACGATAGGTCAGGTCATTTAGGTAAGGCTGAGAAAATTACGACTGTATTAGTTCACTGGCGGGAATTCTACAATTAAGGCTTAAATGCTTTTGTAATTAAGGTTAAATCTCTTTGTTTACACACACACACACACACACACACACACTACAGCTGACACACACACACGGACAAGTACTTTCCAATCGCCTTTTCAGTCACAAATCAAATTACTCATTAGTCACGTGTGTAGTTTTCCGTCGATAATTTGATATTTGTAACTCAACTGAATAATCATATGAGTGAAGTTATTAGTAAATATTAATTACATTTGATGGGTAAATACGATATTTTTGACAACTGATACAACTCCTCTCAAGGTGTTAAGGGTATTGAAATTATGTCCTGTTTATGTAACTATTTTGACCCCAAGGCTATAATATTTTTTCGTGATTATCTTAACAAGTTTTTTTTTAATTATCTTATAAATTAAACCTAAATAATGACACCCCGTCGAAAAAAATTAAATAAATAATATTAATTTCTACATATGAACTTGTAATGTTATCTGAGTAAAATTTATTATAAAAAAACTCTGAATTTTGACTCTAGCGCGACTCTTACCCCACCTAACTCATTTCTAAGGCGAAATTAATGTTTTTACCCAACAAACTTCAAGTAAGGGTATTATTCTTCCACTTAAGAGGTTAAATCCACTTAGGAACCCCGAGTGATAGGGAGAATTCAGCTATTAAGAGAGATGATAGAGGTGTAGTGAATGACGGCTGGATTCCTCACCTCGCTACGGTCGGGTTCAAAGTACGGCACCACCAGGAGGTAATTGAAGTGGGTGGAAGTGCCTGGCAATCCAACGGCCTGGTCCCTTGTGTCTCACCCGGTGTGTGTGTGGTGATATGCTCTGTGTTTATTGTTGTTGTGAGTGTTTTATCGCTCTGTGTTTTGATCTGTGTGTCGTATTTATGTGTGTGTGTGTGTGTGTGTGTGTGTGTGTGTGTAAAGCAAACGTTTTCCGTGTGGGTGTGTTTAATGTTTATATAAATACGTGTGTGTGTGTGTGTGTGTGTGCGTTCATGTGTCAGAAAGGAAAGTACAGCTAAAGGAGCAAATACAAATGAAAATACAGGTACATGTACACAAACAAGTACATGTCTAAATAGAAACAAACACAGGTACAATAAAACAGGTATTGTACAGGTATCCATATAAACAAACACACAAACACAGGTATTGTACAGGTATCAGTATAAACAAACACACAAACACAGGTATTGTACAGGTATCTCTATAAACAAACGCAGGTACCATTAAAACACACAAACACAGGTGAAGAGATTAACTGCACCAAATTGTACATGGGTTGACCTTTCCATGACGCGGGAAGGTGTGGCATGGTGTGGCATGAAGGTGTGACGTGAAAGTGTGACGTGAAAGTGTGACGTGTAGGTGTGACGTGAAGATATGACGTGAAGATGTGGCATGAAGATGTGGCATGAAGTTGTGGCGTGAAGGTGTGGCGTGAAGATGTAACGTGAAGGTGTGTGTATGTGTATATGACCTGTCCTCAGTGTTGCCAACGGAGGCGGCGGTGTGTTGTGAACGAGAGAGGGTGAAGCAGTGTTGCCAAGGACGGTGTGTAAGAGCTCCCCTGTGCCAATTACCTACCTAATAATAGCCGTATCATATGTTGAACAGGTAAATAGGCCCGTGTCCACTTGTTGAACCAAGGAACATGGGGAGATGGTTACATTGTGTGGGGGTGAGGTGTGTGTGTGTGGGGGGGAGGTGTGTGTGTGTGGGGGGGGGAGGGGTGAGGTGTGTGTGGGGGGAGAGAGGTGTGTGGGGGGTTGTGTGGGGGTTGAGATGTGTGGGGTGAGATGTGTGAGTGGGTGGGGGTGAGAGTGAGGTGTGTGTATCGCTGACGGCTGGCTCCTCAAACACTTCCATATTATACCACTCCATACTAAGTGATTCTGTACAACACAATGTAACACAAATGTACACTAATCCAGGGTACAGTCTATGTTCTGTAGTGTACAAGATTACGTAATAATGTACACGGGTTTGTACTGATGCTTCGACTGTTATACAAGTTCTAGTTTAAATAAAATAGTTAATAATATTTTTGGGTTAAGTAACTTGCTCAAGGGACTCTGTAAACACAAGCATCAAGGGACTCTGTAAACACTAACTCTGTATCAAGGGACTCTGTAAACACTAACATCAAGGGACTCTGTAAACACTAACATCAAGGGACTCTGTAAACACAAACATCAAGGGACTCTGTAAACACTAACATCAAGGGACTCTGTAAACACAAACATCAAGGGACTCTGTAAACACTAACATCAAGGGACTCTGTAAACACAAACATCAAGGGACTCTGTAAACACAAACATCAAGGGACTCTGTAAACACTAACATCAAGGGACTCTGTAAACACAAACATCAAGGGACTCTGTAAACACCAACATCAAGGGACTCTGTAAACACCAAACATCAAGGACTCTGTAAACACCAACATCAAGGGACTCTGTAAACACAAACATCAAGGGACTCTGTAAACACCAACATCAAGGGACTCTGTAAACACCAACATCAAGGGACTCTGTAAACACAAACATCAAGGAACTCTGTAAACACAAACATCAAGGGACTCTGTAAACACAAACATCAAGGGACTCTGTAAACACAAACATCAAGGGACTCTGTAAACACAAACATCAAGGGACTCTGTAAACACAAACATCAAGGGACTCGGTAAACACAAACATCAAGGGACTCTGTAAACACTAACATCAAGGGACTCTGTAAACACCAACATCAAGGACTCTGTAAACACTAACATCAAGGAACTCTGTAAACACTAACATCAAGGGACTCTGTAAACACTAACATCAAGGACTCTGTAAACACTAACATCAAGGACTTAAACACTAACATCAAGGGACTCTGTAAACACTAACATCAAGGACTCTGTAAACACAAACATCAAGGGACTCTGTAAACACTAACATCAAGGGACTCTGTAAACACTAACATCAAGGGACTCTGTAAACACTAACATCAAGGGACTCTGTAAACACCTAACATCAAGGACTCTGTAAACACAAACATCAAGGGACTCTGTAAACACTAACATCAAGGACTCTGTAAACACTAACATCAAGGACTCTGTAAACACTAACATCAAGGACTCTGTAAACACTAACATCAAGGGACTCTGTAAACACTAACATCAAGGGACTCTGTAAACACTAACATCAAGGGACTCTGTAAACACAAACATCAAGGGACTCTGTAAACACAAACATCAAGGGACTCTGTAAACACTAACATCAAGGACTCTGTAAACACAAACATCAAGGGACTCTGTAAACACTAACATCAAGGGACTCTGTAAACACAAACATCAAGGGACTCTGTAAACACTAACATCAAGGGACTCTGTAAACACTAACATCAAGGGACTCTGTAAACACTAACATCAAGGGACTCTGTAAACACTAACATCAAGGACTCTGTAAACACTAACATCAAGGGACTCTGTAAACACTAACATCAAGGACTCTGTAAACACAAACATCAAGGACTCTGTAAACACTAACATCAAGGGACTCTGTAAACACTAACATCAAGGGACTCTGTAAACACTAACATCAAGGGACTCTTAAACACTAACATCAAGGACTCTGTAAACACAAAACATCAAGGGACTCTGTAAAACACTAACATCAAGGGACTCTGTAAACACTAACATCAAGGGACTCTGTAAACACTAACATCAAGGGACTC